ACGAGTGCGTAACCGATGCGATCTACGTACAGTATGCATGGCAGATTGTTCCCAGGAGCAGACAATCTTTTGTTTAAACGTTATTTCAAATTCTAAAGGTCTCCTTTTTCTAATATATGCACCCCATCAATATTTCACGCACTACGGTTCAGCATATGTGCAATTGAAAAGGCATTGAAATTTTAACAATATGCTTGATTTCTAAAGGTCTCCTTTTTTTTGATACACCCTGTATACGACAAGTTACTGCATGTTACTGACATGTTACTGTCCATGTTACTTAAGTGTACTACATTTTTACTAGATAATTATTTAAATAGGTACTGTGTATGTTAGCACATGTTACTGTACATGTTATACTGCACATGTTACTCTCAATTTATTATATTTTACTACATAATTTCAACAAGTTACTACATGTTACTGCCGTTTTCTATAAAAATAGAAGTATATATACTTTATATAAAAAAACAACAGTAACATGTGGTAACATGTTGAAATTTTCAACATATTACTATATGTTACTGCTGTTTATTATACAAAGTATGCATACTTTAATAATAATAAAAAAAACATCAGTAACTTGTTCAAATTATATAGTAAAATATAATAAATGCATAGTAACATGTGCAGTAACATGTGCAGTTACATGTGGTAACATGTGCAGTACCTATTTAAAATTTGTTTATATCATATCTCACATTGTTCCTTCTATAATAATTATAACGATTTACTGTTACAACGAAATAAGCACTACTCTGTTGCAACAAGGACTTGCCGAACTTGGAATGTGGGTGTGTAACCCCCCCCCCCCCCCGCCCAGCTTCTTAGAAAACTCGTCGGTACAATGGAGAATGTATAGGAAAAACCGTGACCTGTTGGCAAATGAATTAATAAAATTGAGTTGGTCGGTAAAGCGAAGAGGCTGTAGAGGAACACTCCCACCTCCCTCCCCCGTTGGAGAGCAATGGTCTCGGTACGTCACTACTGTTGCAGTTGACATCAACAAATTGGGCAGTATTACACTTTCCATAATAAGATGTATTCATAGAAAAATTGCATGTCTTGCTGTGCAGATTATTATTATTATCAATGAAATGAAATTTCGTATTGAAATTAGCTGTAGTAGCAGCGATTATATAAATAAATTGATACGTTTAAATGTATAGGTAAATTGCGAGTATATTTGAAGGAACTCCAAGGCAAACTTTATGTTATAACATAATTAAACATATTAAACCGGTCAAAATTAAGCACTTTGAGGTATCCCGTTGCTACACAGTCCCCCCCCTGATGCCCCCACCCCAATTACACAGATCAGGAATCTTGCAGAAGGTAAATATAGTAATTTCAGTCAAAATGAGAATCAGGTATTAAAATATAGTAACCTTTGTTTCGGGTCGAAAATGACTAAGTGCCATACTTTTATATACAATCATGGAAATTAATTCGTAGACTTTTCAAAAATTACCCAAATTCCCCCCCTCCCCGTTTACAATGTTGGTTTGTGGTCCAATAGTCATGGTTTGAACCAACATTGTGCTAGGGGGAGGGGGAGTTACTATTTTTAGCAATCACGAACGTTTGTATTAAACTAAAAATAAATGGCTTTACGAAATAGTAAGACAAGATACATTTTAAAAAAGTCTACGGATATTATTTCCATGATTGTCTAAATTTAAAGAAAAAATTGCGCGGGGATATTTGGAGACGCGGTGTATAAATCATCATTAAAGTTCTAAAGCATGACATATTTTACATGTTATATAAATATTTATGAGACTTGCTTCATAAAAGTTCATCGTATTATAAAGAGATAATCAAGAAACTTACATCATACACTGTCTGCTTTTACTTCTTCGGGAAATCTCTTTAATAATATAATAATCCGTTGGGTAGTAAAGACTCTTTTGTGCATATACTCAAGGTTTTAAAGTAAGATTTTAATAATAAATGATCCACTGCATACAATTAGCCTGTATTTACAAAACGTACTTCTGCGCTGAATGACTGATGTAGATAATCTTTGAAAGTTAATAATTAAAAGTTAATAACTAACACATTGCCATTGTGTCTATTTTAAGAGGGATTTTAATTTTTTTTCTGTTAACCGAAATGTAGGGTGTACGAGATATAACTGATTGCTGAGTGACTATTTCATTAACCTCCATATATTAGATATACAGGGTGTATCAAAAAAAAGGAGACCTTTAGAAATCAAGCATATTGTTAAAATTTGAATGCCTTTTCAATTGCACATATGCTGAACCGCGGTTCGTGAAATATTGATGGAGTGCATATATTAGAAAAAGGAGACCTTTAGAAATCAACCATTGTTATAATTTCAATCCTGGGGCACTTTGCTAAGCCCACGAGTGCGTAACCGATGCGATCTACGTACAGTATGCATGGCAGATTGTTCCCAGGAGCAGACAATCATTTGTTTAAACGTTATTTCAAATTCTAAAGGTCTCCTTTTTCTAATATATGCACCCCATCAATATTTCACGCACTACGGTTCAGCATATGTGCAATTGAAAAGGCATTCAAATTTTAACAATATGCTTGATTTCTAAAGGTCTCCTTTTTTTTGATACACCCTGTATACGACAAGTTACTGCATGTTACTGACATGTTACTGTCCATGTTACTTAAGTGTACTACATTTTTACTAGATAATTATTTAAATAGGTACTGTGTATGTTAGCACATGTTACTGTACATGTTATACTGCACATGTTACTCTCAATTTATTATATTTTACTACATAATTTCAACAAGTTACTACATGTTACTGCCGTTTTCTATAAAAATAGAAGTATATATACTTTATATAAAAAAACAACAGTAACATGTGGTAACATGTTGAAATTTTCAACATATTACTATATGTCACTGCTGTTTATTATACAAAGTATGCATACTTTAATAATAATAAAAAAAACATCAGTAACTTGTTCAAATTATATAGTAAAATATAATAAATGCATAGTAACATGTGCAGTAACATGTGCAGTTACATGTGGTAACATGTGCAGTACCTATTTAAAATTTGTTTATATCATATCTCACATTGTTCCTTCTATAATAATTATAACGATTTACTGTTACAACGAAATAAGCACTACTCTGTTGCAACAAGGACTTGCCGAACTTGGAATGTGGGTGTGTAACCACCCCCCCCCCCCGCCCAGCTTCTTAGAAAACTCGTCGGTACAATGGAGAATGTATAGGAAAAACCGTGACCTGTTGGCAAATGAATTAATAAAATTGAGTTGGTCGGTAAAGCGAAGAGGCTGTAGAGGAACACTCCCACCTCCCTCCCCCGTTGGAGAGCAATGGTCTCGGTACGTCACTACTGTTGCAGTTGACATCAACAAATTGGGCAGTATTACACTTTCCATAATAAGATGTATTCATAGAAAAATTGCATGTCTTGCTGTGCAGATTATTATTATTATCAATGAAATGAAATTTCGTATTGAAATTAGCTGTAGTAGCAGCGATTATATAAATAAATTGATACGTTTAAATGTATAGGTAAATTGCGAGTATATTTGAAGGAACTCCAAGGCAAACTTTATGTTATAACATAATTAAACATATTAAACCGGTCAAAATTAAGCACTTTGAGGTATCCCGTTGCTACACAGTTCCCCCCCTGATGCCCCCCCCCCAATTACACAGATCAGGAAATCTTGCAGAAGGTAAATATAGTAATTTCAGTCAAAATGAGAATCAGGTATTAAAATATAGTAACCTTTGTTTCGGGTCGAAAATGACTAAGTGCCATACTTTTATATACAATCATGGAAATTAATTCGTAGACTTTTCAAAAATTACCCAAATTCCCCCCCTCCCCGTTTACAATGTTGGTTTGTGGTCCAATAGTCATGGTTTGAACCAACATTGTGCTAGGGGGAGGGGGGGGTTACTATTTTTAGCAATCACGAACGTTTGTATTAAACTAAAAATAAATGGCTTTACGAAATAGTAAGACAAGATACATTTTAAAAAAGTCTACGGATATTATTTCCATGATTGTAGTTCATTGTAAAAGTGAACCGCCATCTTGAAAATTCCTGCAAATAAGCCTGCAATCGCATGCCGCTGAGTGTATGAAATTTCTAGCCATGAAACTTAAAAGGCTCGCAGCCTAAGCCTTGCACGTCGGCTGAATAATGTTAAGTTGTACCAGTAGTTAAAAGTTAAAAGTTAGATCGACTAACCGTATTAAAAATTAGTTCGATTCAATTACGTATGTATATGCATTACAATTAATAAAATCATTCTTAAATCTATTTTTTCTTAAAATTAGGAATTTGAAACATTCTTCTTCCTCACAGACATATGTCTGCGGAGTTCACTGAAGGCAATAATCAAGTCATGTATAGTTTGTTCTCAAGATCGTTGACTATAGTTTTACAACGTTTGTTAGTTAAGTTCTAGTGTCTTCTTGCAGTCAAGGTAGTGAGACCCAATTGATCCAGGGCTTCATTATTACCGATGATCTGTTAGAACCCCTTTGAAATTTGTATTCACAGTAATACAGTATTATTAAAGTGACATTCCCATTTTTAACATTCCGCTTTTTCTTAAAAATTAAGGTATCCTGTGCAACGATATCTAAAATAATCATTCATTTCACTATTTATAGTTTAGGGCACTTTCAAAGAGACTTTTTATTCTAGTCGATTTTGTTGCTGCTACCTGTTTTCGACAAATTAACGCATCTGCAAACAAACTGCGCTTATGTTGGATTACATCATGCGTGCACCGCAAACCGCACTTACGCAGGTAAAATCACAAATCTTATATAAACAGTTTACAACGCAACTAACCGGCATGCATGCATGCATCCTTAGCTATTTCTTCATCTGTACAATCTGTATTATTTAGCCTGGTATTATTTAGAATAGATTTCGATAGCTGCAGCTGTAGTGATACGAATCTCGAAAACCATGTCTTCATTTGGCTTAAGAAATTCGTCCGTTTTCATAATGTTAATGATATGTTTGCTACTTCTTAATTGCATAACGGTTCCAGGATTGCTTAGACGAACAAGTAGGAGAACAACAACACGGAGAACAAGACGAACGCCTTCGACTCCAAAAATCACTGCCAGCACACCGCTCCCTGTGACATCCTTTACTTCAAGTATCATAAAGAGTCAAGCTCTGAATCCAACGTATCAGAATTCATTTCGGACCAGATTTCTCACCGGAGCAGTAAGAGGAGCGTTGGTGTACAGCTACTTGTATTCTGCAAATCGTGCTTATAGTGGCCTATACACTCCGTATGGAACATTAAATGTACTAATACCACAAAAACGGGCGCTGAGGATAGCCAAGGAAGAGTATAAAGTACAAACAGCTGACGGTATTGACTGCACTAGCGGTACATTAAGGGAGGACTACGCTACCTCAATAAAAAATGTGACAACGAAAATTGCGTATCAAATACCTGCACAACAAAATTCCGAAACCACTGCAAATCCTTCTGCAACAAATGTGAATCTGAAAGACGTGACAACTGTTGACAGTTATCCCGTAAGTATCGAGACACATTCCGAATATGATAGAAGTTTGATGATCGAAAGCTCCTATGTAAACTGCACGGACATTGTTTGCAATGTTGAAGCGCATATGATCAGAATGTATGACACAAATCCAAACTATAATTTCGCGGTTATAGACTTGGATTGAAATGGTATTCAATTCCATTGCTTTTATTGTCTTGTATATGTGCTACATACATATAGCTAACAGTATAATTGTATCTATAGACCTTATTCATAATTTGTAATCGGGGCCACTCGTATCCTAGGACACGGGAAAAAACGTGGGAGAACAAGCAAAACTGGCCTACTTGCTGAAAGGCCAAATCACTGCCAAGTTCAGGCACCTTTTTCTTGTTGTTTATTCCAAGTTACAACGACTTTCGTTCATATTTTAAAATTTTGTCCCAACAAACGAAAGCTAGAAACGAGACTACTATGAAAACGACCGTCCTTTCTCTATCCAGTTTCCATGTGGAAAATGTGAAAATATGACAATGTAACGATGGCCGTGGTTATCCAGGTAAAAAACAGTATTTTAGCAAGTTGAAATTGTAACGTCGATATTATAATATAGCTTATTCCGTGTAAAATCAAGACAACCATGGAAGGAAAGTTTTATTTCCATATTTTGCCATTAATATGAAAGGACACAAGTGGTTAAAACTCACGACGGAATTTGAAATGTTACTGATTCGCATCGAAAATGTTTTACTTATGTAGGCTATACACCATCCCTGCTCCTCGAAGAAATTCTTATGCAAGCAGTCTGAAGATTAACTGTGTGAGTTGTAATGCTTGATTTCTTTAACAAATTCTACTCTTCAAAAGTAAAGAATCTTAAATCGACCAAACCGAAGAGATGGTGGAAGGAGGTGAAGCAGATTGCTGATATGGTACCTACAACCGGCTCCGATGACCTATGTAGTCAACTACATTTAGACGATATTGAGAATATGCAACGTCCTGACATTGCGAATTTAATTAATAACGCCTTTTTGGAGCCCATGAACTCCTTCAATCCACTGTCAACCCTTCCCCCCTTTGATAATTATTCCTCCTTTCAAGTAAACGAATTGGAAGTCTTTCATTTATTGAAAGCAATTAATCGTGGAAAGGCGTCAGGTCCTGACGAAATTCCCAATTGGGCTCTTAAGGAATATGCTGAAATCCTTGCACAGCCAGTATGCGCTGTGCTAAACAGCAGCTATACCGAACAACAACTACCTAAATCTTGGAAGCTTGCCAACATTGTGCCCCTCATAAAAACTAAGCCCGTTAGCGACATTTGTAAGCAGTTACGACCAATATAATTTCACTTACTGCCGCTATTTCGAAAATCGCCGAGGACTGTGTTGTTAAAAAATACATTGCTCCAGCTATCATGAGTATAATCGATCCAAGTCAATATGGAGTAATACCAAGAAGTTCAACTACTCTCGCTGTTATATCTATGATCCATGAATGGTCGCAAGCTACTGATGGCACTGGCTCTGCTGTTAGAGTCATCCTGTTCGATTATAGAAAAGCATTCGACCTTATCGATCATGCTTTACTGGCTGATAAAATTTCCAATTTAGCTATTCCACGTGCGGTTGCTCGCTGGACAATCGATTTTTTGATGAATCGAAAGCAGAGAGTGAAATTATCCAATGACTGTTATTCGGAGGGGGGAGATGTACTTTCCGGTATCCCTCAAGGTACAAAATTAGGGCCCTGGCTATTTTGTTTAATGATAAACGATCTTGATATTTGTGATATATTGAGGTGGAAGTTTGTTGATGACACAACAGTTGCTGAAGTAGTTAGTAAGGACACAGAGAGCCGTGTTCAAGTCGCAGTTGATGTTGTGGAAGATTGGTCGAAGGCAAATGGGCTATCTCTTAACGCTGAGAAATGTAAAGAACTGAGAATCGATTTTAAAAAATTAAACAACCTTTTGATCCTGTACTGGTGGGTGGAGAAGCATTGCCTATAGTTGAGAGTGCAAAAATATTGGGTCTTGTTATGACAGGCAGACTTCAGTGGAAAGATAACATCAGAGAGAGTATAAAGAAAGCTAATAAACGCCTCTATTTTATAGTATTATTGAAACGGGCAGGCGTAAATGTCAATGATGTTTTGAACTTTTATTGTACAGTGACCAGGCCTGTGCTCGAGTATTGTGCGCAAGCCTTCCATCATTCCATCCCAAAGTATTTGGCAGACGAACTTGAGACTGTCCAGAAACGTGTGCTAAAAATTTTATCTCCTCAAATGACATACTGTGAGGCCCTTGAGTATTATAGACTGCCTACTCTATTTCAAAGAAGAGAGGACATGTGTGACAAACTCTTTACGAGTATCATCAAGGATCCAATGCATAAACTTCATCATCTGCTGCCCCCGAAGAACGAGACTGATTATTCTTTCAGGACGAATCGGTATTTTAATATG